ACTACCATCAGCATCACCACAACCACCATCATGCTCATCACCATCAATATCACTACTATCATCACCACAGTCATCATTACCACCACCATGATCACCACCATGATCACGACCATCATTACCATCATCACTATCAGCACCCACATCACCATTTTTACCATCACAATCATCACCATCATTACCATCATCAACATCAACACCACAAAAACTGCCATAATCATCACCATTATCACATCCATCATAACCACCATCATCATCACTATCATCTTCACCGTGAAAACCACCATCACCATCATTCCCACCATCTCCCTCATCACCATCATTACCACATCACTGTCATCATAACTACCACCAACATGATCACCACCATCATTATGATCATCATTAACGCCCACATCACTACCACGATTATCACCATCACCATTCTTATTATAATCATCACAACCATCAGCACGATTTGTAAGAGTGAGTGGAATGGGGAGTGAGTGCTTGGGTGAATGAGATGAGCAAGTAGATAAGTGACAGATGGTGGGTGATTGAATGGTTGAGTGAGTGCATGGTTGATTGGGTGAGATTAGGGGTAAATGAGTGGGTGAGCAGACGGGGGAGATGGTTGATGGGTGAATGAGTGCATGGGTGAGTGGATGGGTGGAGTATTTTAGTTGGTGAGAGGGTACGTGATTGGGTAAATTGTTGAGTGCGTTCGTGAGTAGAATAGTGAGTGAACGATTGAGTGCATGGGTGATTGAGATGGTGGGTGAGTGAGTGGCTGAGTGGGTCAATGGTTAAGTTAATGGGCGAGAAGGTAGGTGAGTGTGTAAATGATTGAGTGAGTTCAAGTGAATCGTCTGGAACCGGGTGTAGAACTCGAGAGACAAGGACAGCAGTCTCATTTGCAAGACTGACCTGGGGCTGGGGGATCTCCAAAATAACAAAAACGACGTGAGCACAGGGAACAATAACAAAGCGAAGATAAATTATGCAACCATCACCGTTTCGATTTAAAGCTATTCGTGACTGCAGGGATTCATCTTCTTGGTTCTTTCAGTAAAGTCATGTAGAATGGAAATAATAAAATAATAAAAATAAACATAATAAAATAATTCTCACGACGTTTCGGCCACAACGCAAGCAGCCGTCCTCAGGTGAAGAACAGGTCAGTCTCTGTATTGCCGTTCCAATCCTTAAGCGGAGAGGTAATTCCTCAAATCCTTACCCGCACCACACGACCGTTCTATTTCTATATCCTGAAGCGTGGTCAAATAATCCCCACAACCCACACAGCGTGCGGCGGCCTTCATCCCGCAGTGGATTAGCAAAAGGGCTGTACACGGACAGCATATTGCATTGTGGTTAGGATACGGGATCAAGAATTCACGTACGTCTGTTGAACTTGTTTCGCACCGTACATTGCCAACTGTCCAAATCGGTACGAACTGTTTTCTGTGAAAAAAAAAATAACTTGACGTAAGTTAAATTGCGTCGACAGCCGAGCAATCATTTGCATGCAACTTGGCAACTTGGGTGTATGCAACTATATCACTTCTACATGGACGTCTCTGCAACAGGTTTCTCACAGTGGAACGAGATTACTTTCAAGCATCGATCTCCTTTGCGAATCATAGCAACGTATCGCATAATCACGCCTGCACAGAACTGAACTGTGATAAACAGTTACAATCCAGATGCAGGTGAGGAGTCGTGGTAACCAGAACAGGGGGCAGACATTTTAGTCACTGAGACTCGTCTTTTGTTGTGCAACTACTCGCACAGATTTTGACAAAGCAGCTGCAGGTAACTAATTCACACGATTTCGAGTAATTTGGTTGCGCAACTCATCAAGAAAATGTACAATCAGTTTTGACGTAATCCGAATTCAATCATTCAATCCGTGTCCATAATCATCAGCATGGTCCTTACCACTGAAACATGTAGGATCAGTAGGACATTACTTTGAGGATACAATGCCATGGTACGAGCAGGAAATGCCGATTTGTAGATAATTTAAGTGGCACAGCCGATGATGGTTTACTTCGACACATTTGCCGCTTCTACCTTACAGGACATCTCCTGCTCAAAGGAGACAAACTTAACCCACGATTCATCAACGCATTTAACAATACCCCTGGAATATGCTCACACACAGCAGAATGGGGAAGATAAGGAGGCGTGTCAAGAGGGAAACACTTCACATATTCAAGGGCCTCTCCATGGACATGGATAGTCTGGGGGTGGTTGGCTGATCCAATGGCGGTTGGTGGACGACCTTGGCTTTGGTGATGTTCAAGAGTGGTACTGCCCACCCACCCCCACTCCTCGTGTGCCGTGCCGGCCTTCAAAGGTGCAACTCGCTAACAGCACGTGGCTCAGCAGAAGTGTGCTAAGGCTGTACGGGGATATTTGTGAATACCTCTACAGTCTTGTCATCTCCCACAGCTCCGAGATTACGTAGCCATCGCTGCAATCATATTTAGTCAGCTGGGAAGAGTAAGACGGAGTTCATTCGCAAATCAGTGGGGTATCTCTCAATGGATCGCCCTGTATTAGGGTGATTTCTTAAGGTTGTGGTTTGTATGTTAAAGGTGGTTTCAGGTGTTGGTGGTTTGTGGTTAATGCAGGATTGAACGCTTTGTTACAATGTGGCTTTTTATTAAATGGTATATGGGCAGCTACACGAGGTTATTTTGTTTTATCCAAATGAGAGTGAGTGGGTGCGTGAGATGGTGGGTGATTGAATCAGTGAGTGGATGAGTGTAAAAGTGACACAATGTGAGTGAGATGGTGAGTGAGTGAATGAGATGGTCGGTGAGTAAATCGATGGGTGCGTGAGATGGTGGGTGAGTAGGATGGTGGGTGAGTGAATGAGTGAGACGAAGGAGATTGTCGTGGACTTCAGGAGAGTGCACACCCAGCATACTCCGCTAACCATCAACGGTGCTGCAGTGGAGAGGGTAAGATGCACCAAGTTCCTGGGTGTGCACATCTCTGAAGACCTGTCGTGGAGTCACAACACTGCATCACTGGCCAAAAAAGCCCAACAGCGCCTGTATTTTCTCCGCAAACTGAGAAGAGCAGGAGCCCCGCCCCCCATCATGCACACCTTCTACAGAGGCACCGTTGAAAGCATCTTGACGAGCTGCATCACCGTGTGGTACGGCACCTACACCGTGTCCTGCCGCAAGACTCTGCAGCGCATAGCGAGAGCAGCTGAGAGGATCATTGGTGTCTCTCTCCCGCCTCTTCTGGACATTTATAACACCCGCATCACCAGCAAAGCAATCAAGATTGCAGGTGATCCCACCCACCCATCTCACAGCCTCTTCAGCCTGCTGCCGTCAGGGAGGAGACTGCGGAGTCTTCCAGCCAGGACCAGCAGGCTCAAAGACAGTTTCTTTCACCAGGCTGTCAGGAGACTCAACTCCCTCCCTGCTCTACCATCACTCCCCCCCTCTGCCCACCCACCCCCCTTTGCCCCCTAACCCCAACCCCCACACACACATTCACTCGTACATCCTGATCTCTGGACTGCACATTGCACTACATCGCACTATCACACTGGTTTAAATATCTTATTTCTTTAAATACTTTTTTTAAATAATATTTTACATTTTAAAAATTCTTGACTGTTGTTTATTTTAAGCCTATTACATTTTTGATTATTTATCTTGTGTTGATCGCCGATTGTTTATTGTTTATTTATGTCTGTTAATTGTGATTAATTTTTTAATTGCTTGGTTGCACCGTGGGACCAAGAGAGAGGACTGTAATTTCATCTGTGTTGTATGCCATGCATGTAACACACTTGACAATAAAGTGACTTTAAGACTTTAAGACTTTTAAGACTTAAGATTTGTGGCCAGGTCGCTTCTGAAAAGAGCCATATACCTCTATGGGCTTTACCTGGAAAAAAATATGATAATTGGTTCTTTACCCTTCTATCTGGCAACAAAACTGACACCTTTTTGCAAGGAGTCATGTTTGCATAGACCGCAATACCTGCAGTCATAAATACAAACAAAAGACATAACTCTGATAATGTGCACTGTCCTTGAAGTTGATTGGTCCACACCCGAGACAGCTTTCCTTCGAGCCTAGTCTCATATGGGTTGGACCAGATGACGCCAAAAGGCGCACAACTCAAGGACAATGCACCATCAGAGTATGAGAGCTCGGGGCAAGCATCTACACTATGGGGACCTCATTTGCCAGTAAAAATATGATAATTGGTTCTTTACCCTTCTATCTGGCAACAAAACTGACACCTTTTTGCAAGGAGTCATGTTTGCATAGACCGCAATACCTGCAGTCATAAATACAAACAAAAGACATAACTCTGATAATGTGCACTGTCCTTGAAGTTGATTGGTCCACACCCGAGACAGCTTTCCTTCGAGCCTAGTCTCATATGGGTTGGACCAGATGACGCCAAAAGGCGCACAACTCAAGGACAATGCACCATCAGAGTATGAGAGCTCGGGGCAAGCATCTACACTATGGGGACCTCATTTGCCAGTAAAAATATGATAATTGGTTCTTTACCCTTCTATCTGGCAACAAAACTGACACCTTTTTGCAAGGAGTCATGTTTGCATAGACCGCAATACCTGCAGTCATAAATACAAACAAAAGACATAACTCTGATAATGTGCACTGTCCTTGAAGTTGATTGGTCCACACCCGACTGCAGGTATTGCGGTCTATGCAAACATGACTCCTTGCAAAAAGGTGTCAGTTTTGTTGCCAGATAGAAGGGTAAAGAACCAATTATCATATTTTTACTGGCAAATGAGGTCCCCATAGTGGAAGAAAATAGTTTATAGTTGACTATCAACCAGTCTCCCTCTGAAATATTTGGCCCGTAAGTCAGTGTTGGTGATCATGGGGTCATAATCCAAGACTTTGGGGTTTATATTCCACCCACAGTTTTGCAGTGGGAACTCCATTGAATGCAAGGGAATCGAAGTAGAGTCACAGTAATGCATCTCTCTCTCTCTCTCCCACAGGGGCACCTGGAGGAGACGCGCAGGTAAAAGACGACTTTCACTCACGGCTCGACACACGAAAACATGGGATTGAGTGTGGGACGTGGGCAGTGAGACATTGGCTGTATGTGATGATGCCGTGTGGTGAAACTGTGTGTGGTGATGTTGCGTGTGAAGATGCTGTGTGAAGATATTTTGCGTGATAATGCTGTGTGATGATGCTGTGTGGTGAAGCGGTGTGTGATGGTGTGTGATGATGCTGTGTGATGATGCTGTGTGGTGAAGCTGTGTGTGGTGATGCTGTGTGATGATGCTGTGTTAAGTGATGCTTTGTCTGATACTGCGTGGTGATGCTGTGTGATGGTGCTGTGTGATGATTCTAAGTGTAGTGATAGTAATGCTGTGTGGTGATGTTGTAAGTAGTTGTGATGTGAGTGATGATGCTTTCTGTGATGAGCCTAGATGTGATGGAGCTGTGATGATTCCACGTGTGATGAAGCTGTGATGAGTGTCTATGTAATGGAGCTGTGATTATCCTGTGAGTGACGATGCTCTGCGTGATACAGTGGCCGTGTCTGTTCTGCTTTCACAGGGCAGGGAGGGTTACTTCAGCTCCACCCTCAGCTCGCAGCCAACAGGACATTGCCTCACTTCAAGTCCTGGAGACAAATGCAGTCAAACTCCTGTGTGAGTTCTTCAGTGTGAATTATGGGTGATTGGGTGGTCTTGACAATAAATTATCTCCGTGTGTGTGCACGAGGTCGACTCAACCTCAAATGAGTACCTGGTGTTTTGTGAAAACATCACCACTAGGGAGACAAAGGTGGCCAGGCGTAGTGCTGGCCACCCACCCCCTCGTTGGCCGTGTCAGCTTTTAAAGGTGCTGACTTGCCCTGACAGTGTGTTAAGGCTACACAGGGGATTTTAGTCTTTGTTTATATACTAATCCACGACCCGACTGATCAGAGCCATGAGACTCGGTGTTTTGGTAAATAATCAGCATTACCAGTCATGGGTAATTGCGATATTGAGATGCGGTGTGTGCCTGTGAATGTCTCTATGCATCTGTAGGTGGGGTGAGCGATGGCTTAGTGGTTAGCACACTGCACTACGAACCCAGTTTACTGGGTTTGATTACCTGCCATTGCTAAAATCAGTGGCAGGTGATATCTGATCCATTCCTGGGCCTCTGCTCTGCAGTTTTAACCTCAAATGAGTTCCTGATGTTGGTAATGGTCATAATGATGGTGGTTGTGATGAGAATGGTGGTAATGATGCTGATATTACTGATAATGTGAGTGATGGGAATGGTGATAGCATTGGTGATGGTGTTGGTCGTGATGGCAGTGATGTTCGTGGTGATAATGATGGTGACACTGGTGATAATATAGTAGGTGATGGTTGATGGTTTTGCTGATGACACTGATGGTAGTGATTATATTGGTTATGGTGATAATGGTAGTGATGGTGGTATTGAGTGTTTTGATGGTCGTTGTGATGGTGATGATGCTGGTCGTGTTGGTGTTGTTGGTGATAGTGATGAAGATGTTAGATGGCGGTGATGGGAACTGGTGATGGTCGAGGTAGTTGTAGTGATAGTGGTGGTGATTACTTGTGATGGTGCTAGTGGTGATGATTATGTTTGTGATGTTGCTGATGGCGATAGTGATGTTGGTTATGTTCATCGTAATGATGATGTTGGTGACGATGGTGATTTTGGTGAATTCTGTGCTGTTTGTTGATGGTGAAGATGATGGTTGATGATGGTGATGTTGATGTGGTGATTGTGGATAATGGTGTCCTGTAGTTATGTTGTGATCGCTGTTGTCACAGACGGATGCTCACCAACTCTGGACACAAACTCAGCTCATAACCAACTCCAGATCTCCTCGGAACTCAGGACGATGAAGTGGACCGGTGTTTCCCAGGGTCGCCTCGATCATCCACACCGGTTTGATGGCTGGTCACAAGCCCTGTGCATTGAGAGCTTCTCGTCGGGCCACCACTACTGGGAGGTGGACGTGGGGGACGCGAGGTGGTGTCGGGTTGGAGTCGCGTACGGGACGATCCCACGGAAAGGGGGTGGTGCTGCATTGCAGCTGGGACGGAACGATGCATCCTGGTGTTTAGAGAAACGTGACGACAACTTCTCAGTGTTTCATGGCGGAGTGGAGACTGCACTGTCGGTGAGGAGGGCCCCCTCCCCCCGCAGAATCGGGCTTCACCTGCACTGGGAGGGGGGGCTCCTGGAGTTTTACCACGCCGACTCCATGGAGGTGATCCACGAGGTTCGGCAGAGATTCTTGCAGCCTCTCTACCCTGCGATGTGGGTGGGGTATTGTAATGAACCATTGAAGATCGTGGATCTGAGTCGTGCATCCTGAGGATGAGGAAAAATAGAAACCCAAGAAACTGAGACAGAAATCTAAGAAACTGATGAAAGGGGGGATGGTGAGGAGAGGGTGAAGTGAGGGTGAGGGGAGATTGGAGGGGAAGGTGAGTGAAGGGGACAGGTAAGCGTGGAGGGTGAAGGGTTAGGAGGGGGTGAGGAGAGGAGAAGATGGGAAGGAGGGGGTAGAGGCGATGGTGAGGCAAGGTGAGGGTTAGGGGAGGGTGTGGGGTGATGGGAGGGTGAGGTGAAAATTTAATGAAGGGTGAGGTCAGCATGGAAGGGGAGGGTGAGGTTCAGGTTGGTGTGCGTGAGCGATGTCACCAGTGCAGTACAAATCGCCGGTGCGGAAGTTTGAGGGATTTTAATGAAATCTGAGTGGGGAATCAGCGCAGCCCCAGAGTCCGTATGGCCGCTCCTTCACCTGCAGTGAGCGCTCGCGTCACCACGCCCCATCATCCCTGCGATTCACCATCATCACCATCATCACCCCATCATCACTATCATCATCACCACCATCATCCCCATCAACACCACCATCATTGTAATCACCAGTCATCACTACCTCCATCATCACCATCATTACCACCATCATGATCATCAGCATCATTGCCATTACTCAATTTTAATCACTATCATCACCACCACTCTATCATCATCAATATAATCACCAACATCATCAACATCATTATCCTCATCATCACTACGACCATGACCATAACCATCATAAACTACCATCACCACCAACACCATCAAAAACCACCATAATCATCACCATTATCACATCCATCACCATCATCACTATCATCACCACCATCATCACCACTTCCAACACTGCCACGATCATCACCACTATCATTGTTACCACCACCATGATCACCACCATCATCACAATCACCATCATTACCATCATCATCAACACCACAAAAACACCATAATAATCACCATTATCACATCCACCATCACGACCATCATCATCACTATCATCACCGTAAAACCACCATAACCGTCATCATTATCACCATCTCCCTCATCACCATCACTACCACCACATTCATCATCACCACGACCATGATCAACACCATCATCATCATCACCGACACCACCACCAGCATTATCACCATCACCCTTTTTACCATCACCATCATTACAATCATTATTACAATAACCACCAATACCATCACCATTTCACCATTATTACCACCACTACCACCTTCACCACCATCATCATTACCATCACCATTACTACCATTGTCACCAACATCATCATCATTCCTCCTTCGCAAAACCCTTCTCTCCACAAGAAACATTAAAGACATAATACACACCACGTACTTTCTGCCCCCCCCCCCTTCACTCTCCCCCCCTGCAGCCGATCTCTCAGATCTCTCCAAGTGCTGCCACGGGGTCCACTTTCTGCCCCGCCCCCTCTCTCCCCCCCACCTCCTCTCTCCCCCCTATTGCCGAGGCCTATATAACCTCGTGCCACGGCAGGTCTCTCGCCTACTTCAGCAATGTTTTTCTTGCCGTGGTTGTCCCACCTGATGACGGTTGCTTGTGTCGCGAACGAAACGTCGTGATCTATTATTTTTCTACCTACGTGACTTCAGCGAAATAACCAAAGAGTATGGATTCCTGCAGTCACGAAAACTTCAAATCAAGATTGACACCACGTATTGTTTTACTCATCCCATCAGTCGCAGGCACGGCCTTCTGGGAGTTCCTAATTGAAGCGGCATTTGGTTCAACGCAAGCAACACTCTGGGACGGTTTTGACATTCAGTGTCTCATCAGCAGCAGAGTCAGGCTCGCGTGAAGCAATGTATGAATGTTGAACTTATTTCGCATCGTACGTAGCCAACGTACCTAGCCAACCGTGCAAATCGGAGGTGCAATGCTGGCGAATTGGCCAGATATTCGGTGTCTCATAAGCAGCAGCTAGGCTTTGCTTAAACCAAGGCTCACGAAGTATTTGCCGACTGGACTCCTCGCCGCCTGCTTGTATGTATTGTGTTGAGATTATAATGCGCCAAATGTAGCCAACTGGGCTAATCGGAGGTGCGGGGGAAGGACAACAAACTAAGCACAAAAACACACAGGCACTGAAAGTCAGGTACAAAGGCCGTGCGGGTTGCTCGTGTTTGATTAGAAAATAAAAATGGTAAATAAAAATCGAAGGTAAAAAAGAACACACAGCACGTGTTATTGTCTTGAGTATTACTGTTTGTTTAAAGTGGGTCTATAGAAAGAAATACACGTACAGTGACACAGACTAATTTCACGTGAGTTTGTGTGTGACCAGACCAGTACTCGCTGTATCTGATTCAATACAAATCCTATTGTAGTGCTCGTTCTGTTTATCAACACAAATGTGCCAAGTCTACTGCACGGTGAACGTGAAAGAGTTAATGCATTAGCACTTTCATAGATTCACTCAGACCCATAGACTCACCACACAGAGACATAGACTCACTCAGAGACACAGACTCACGAACAGGGACCCATAGACTCCATCACACACAGACCCATAGACTCACAGTGAGATCTACACTCACACAGACCCATACACACACCGAACCAGACTCAGAGACCCATACATTCACTCACAGAGACCCATAGAATAAGACAGAGACCCATAGACCCACCACACAGCGACCCATAGACTCATGACACAGAGACCCACAGACTCATGACACAGAGACCCATCGACTTACACAGAGACCCATAGACTCACAAAGAGACCTATATGCTCACACAGAGACCCACAGTCGGTTCTGCCTCCACTGCTGCTGTATTTGTTGTTGATGTGGTTGTTGATGTTGTTTATGTTGTTGATGTCGTTCCACGGGGATGTTGGGGCCTCGGACCATCGTGGGTCAGGGCTGGAGACGGCTTCCCTGCACGCGCTGCTGGTGCTGTGGAGCACAGCGGAGGCACGGGAGCAGGGCCAGAGGGGGTGTCAATGGTGGTGGTGTACACGTGTCTGTGTTTGTACGCGTGTCTATGCATGCGTGTCTGTGTGTGTACGCGTGTCTGTGTGTGTACGCGTGTCTGTGTGTAAAGGAGTCTCTGTGTACGCGTGTCTGTGTGTGTACACGTGTCTGTGTGTACACGTGTCTGTACACGTGTCTGTGTGTACACGTGTCTATATGTGTGTCTGTAATGTAGCGGTTAGCGCGCTGCACTAAGAACCCGGTGACCCGAGTTTGATTCTAGCTCAAGGCCAACACTGATGACGATTATTTGAACTGGTCCTGAGGCTCACCTAGGTCGACTCAGCTTAAAATAATATCCTGGTGCAGTGGTGTGTAGTGAACATCGCACCGGGGAGACAAAGGCGGCCGGGCGTGGTGCTGGCCACCCACTCATGTGCCACAGTGCCGGCCTTGATAGGCGCTACAACTCGCGAACAGCACTTGCCCCTAGTCTATTGGAAGCTACACGGGGAAGCTTTGTCTGTCTCTACAATGTGACAAAGCTCCCCGTGTAGCCCACCCAGGCTGGAGGAGCAAGAGCTGTTAGTAGCGAGGAGCAGCAGCGCCTGTGAAGGCCGCCACTGTGGCACATGAGGGGTGGGTGGCCAACACCACGCCCGGCCGCCTTTGTCTCCCCAGAGCTGATGTTTACACACCGCACCAGGTTCTGATTTGAGTCCGAGTCGACCTAGGGGAGGCACGGGACCCGGTTCTGATTTCACTCGCCACTGATGTTGGCCGTGAGCCGCGACGCAGCGCGCGCAACCGCTCCCCACACTTAACACTTACAAACTACAACCATTAACCACCAATCACAATCACAGTGTGGGTCTCTACGAGTCTGTGTGGGTTACTATGGAACTTTGGGTCTCTATGGTTCTGTCTGCGAGTCTGTATGATGTGTCTGTGGGTCTTTGTATGGGGCTTTGTGTTAGGGTCTCCGAGTATGGGTCTCTGTGGGTCTGCATGGATCCCCGAGTATGGGGCTATGTGGGTCTCAATAGGTCTCTGTGGGTCTATGTATAGGTCTCTGAGCATAGGTCTCTGTGGTTCTATGGATAGATCTGTGGGTCTCTATGTGACTCTGAGTATGGGTCTATGTAAGGGTCTTTGTGGGTTTCTGTATCGGTCTCTGTGGGTTTCTGTATCGGTCTCTGTGTGGGTCTCTGTGTGTGGGTTTGTGAGCACCAGAATCTGTATTTATACTGCAGGAGGAATCCGAAAAGCTCTGAAGCTCTTTCATCACAGATGTCCAGTCGGGGGCCACTGGGGTCAGAACGTTACAACAACAAACGCACAACGCGCGCACAAGACACGACAGGAGGGGCAGCGTACAGGAGAAGTAAACAAATCACTCAACAGATTGTCTACAAACAGCAGCAAGCTGTGTGTAGAGAGCAGCAGTGCACGCGTGCAGATCACTCTCACCACACCGTCAGTCGCTGTAAAAATATGCTAAATTCCTCTGTTGATATGTAAACTCAGCTTATTGAAGAGTATATTGAGTACATTGATTATATATTCTTGGTTCTTTTAGGTAGTGTCGCGTAGAAGGGAATAAAAAAAAATATATAAAACAATAAAATTATCACGGCATTTCGACTGCAACACAAGCAATCATCATCAGGTGTGAAATCCACAGCAAGAAAATGTGAATCCCTGCAGTCACGAAAGCTTTAAATCAAAATTTATATTGATGTAGTTTATACCTAGTTTTTTCACATCGGTTTATTGTATGGTAGTAGGGTAGAAGCAGTTCTTTAGCGTCAATATGCTGAATTCCATTGTTGATATGTAAACTCCTTTATCAAGGCGCTCTGCTCCTCCCACCCAGCTTAAAATACGCTGCCAGGCTTATCAGTGTTCATTAGGATGCTGTCTTTCCGACAGCTCTGTTCTTCACCTGAGGATGGCTGCTTGTGTTGTGGCCGAAACGTCGTGAGAATTTTTTAACGTTTTTTTTTCCCTTCTACGTGACTTTACCGAAAGATCCAAGAATATGAATCCCTGCCGTCACGAA